AGTGGCTGGATGGAGAGTGGTGGCAAGTGGTGTCCTCCACAGGTCAATTCTGAAGCTGATATTCTTTAATGTATTAATCGGTGACAAAAGCAGTGAGGTGGCATGCACTCTCAGCAAGTTTGCTGAGTAAGCTGTGGAGTGCAGTTGACACACTAGAGGGGTGGGATGGCATGCACAGGGACCTAGAAAGCTTAAGCATGGGGCTCAGGTGAACCTCATGAGGTTCAAAAAATCCAAATGCAAGATTTTGCTCTTGGGTCAAAGCCACTCCCATTACCAATACATGATGGGGCATGTGAAAGGACTGGGAGTAGCCCTGCTGAGAAAGTTCTGGGGATAGTGGTAGCTGGGAAGCTGGACATGAACCTGCCATGTGTCCTCACAGCCCAGAAAGCCAACTATACCATGGGTTGCATCAAAAGAAGTGTGGCCAGCAGGTCAAGGGAGGTGATCCTGCCCCTCCAGTCTGTGCTGGTGACACTTCACCTGGATTACTGTGTTTAGAGATGGAGTCCTCAGGGAGATAGACCTGTGGAAGTGCATCCAGAGAAGGGCCACAATGATCCTTGGAATGGAATACTGAACAGATCAGGCTGACAGGGCTGGGGCTGTTCAGCCTGGAGAAGGCTTCAAGGTGACCTCATAGCAGCCTTTCAGTATCTAAAGGGAAGCTACAGGAAAGAAGGGGATAACTCTTCAGCAGGGTCTGTGGTGATAGAATCTGATTTTCAATCCTTAGGTCACAATGTAACCTAGCAATTCCCATGCAATCATTTTCCATGTGGCTCCTGCTTTGAATAAGGAGCTAGACCACATGTCCACCAAGATGTATATTATTATCTGTATTGAGTCTATGATGAACTCCTAGAAGATGCATTACTACAGACTATAGGAAGACCAACTATTTAAGTGCAGTTTCTATGGAAAAAAAGAAAAAATTGTTAAGTTGTGGAGTCATAATTACCACTATGCAGCTAGGCAAAGAGCATCCAGAAGAAGTACTCAGCTATGAGAGGAATATTTCAGAGAGCTCTATCTTTTTATGAATAAAAAGAGAGGTATTAAAGATGTGCTTTCTGTGCCATTTCATAAAGTCAAGATAAAGGTAGTAAATATTCTCTAATATATTCAAGTATTTTAAACAATTTGGTACATTTACGAATTAATCCCTTCCTATGCTAATGTGGAAAAAGTTTAGAAGACAAGCCAAATACACTTACATTATTTGATGAAAATACACTGATGATGCAAGGTAAACAAGGTGCATGATTATTAAAGTAGATTATTTTGTAACTATTATTTTGGCTTTCTTTTCTGCATCAGTAGAGATAGGTAAATACTGTAAATATATAAACCTATAGACTCATTATGACTGCAGTTCTTTCAGATTTTCCACATAACATACATATGAATTCAAATAGTAGATGTTTTATGAATTCAAATAAATATGAAAGAGATAATAGTGACTTATTTTATGCCTTTTCAAGCTTAACTTACAGTGTTTTTCATAGATTACAAAATTTTTTGTTTAATTTAAAACGTTTCTATGAAGTTTTCTTGAACCACTGATAGGCATTCTTCTGAAATATCTTCCTATCTTTTTCTTTCTTTTCATATAACTCAGGTTTATGAATAAACCTTGGTAATTAGAAACAACCAACACTTAAGAAATAATGTAGAGTAGAAGTAATGAATGGAAATGAGGCAATTTCTGCTGACAATCAGTTGTATACGTAAAGCCCTGAAAAGTACAGATATCGTTTTATTACACAGTCAAATATTAATTCTTCTAAAAAAAAATAAAATCCTTTTAGTGTGATTTGTAAAATAAACTGTTCCTTGATCTCTGTCCTTATATGTAATTCATCTTCTCTGGCTTCAGTTTTGATATACTTACTGAACAAGTGGCACTTAATGAAACTATCTGCTATGCCAAAGGGAAAACATACACTGTTTTGTCATGACCCAGAAAAAAATGTGGCCAATACTTGTGAAGGAAAGTATGTTCTCTGCAAATAAAAAATACTTGGTATCTGTACAGTGCTAAATATTTCAAAGAACAATTAACTTATAAGCAAATACATCTTTATGTATGTACACACACAAGTATTTAGGAAGACCTGCTCTCAGTTTCATAGGTAGAGAAACTAAGAAAGAAAATAGTTAAGTGCTGACTGTACTCCAAGAAGCAACAGAAAAAAAAAAAAAAGGACAAATAATGAAGTTCCTCTTTAAGACCTCCATCTTCTTTGTTTGTACCTACTTTCCTATAGGATGTGCAGGACCACAGGAAACGTGACTGAAAGCTTTCGATACCATCTGAATGCTGGAAGTTTAGATAAGAATTTAAATAGTTGCTCTCACAACTTTATGGACTTAGAATTCGTCTCAGAACTACAGACCGCAAGTTTTTAAAAATTATTCTGATAAAAATCTACAGCCATCATCTATTTAGACAATAATAAAAAATAAAATAAATAAAATTCTTATATGTAGGTCACTCTGAAATTAATGTTGCTTATTTCCATGGAAACTATAACAGATAGAAAGAGCACAATAACGCTATTTGATAGAGAAAATTCTCAGCTACAAAGCACTATTTTTCAGTGTAGTCACCACTATTAGGTATGCATTTCCATCAACAATGAATAAGAGTGTTCTCATAACAATCTGCACCGAAGAGGTGATCCACTGTTGTTGTCATAGGTGCTGAAATGCACCACCACCCACATTTCTCACATTTACAAGTTGGTCTCAGTTAATATTTGCCTAGTATCAGTGAATGTCAGTTGGAGCAATTTTTTCTGACTGGAGGAATTCAATTGCACACTTTACTGCCTATGCTCTTACATATCAGATACCATTTTGTCAGATTACCCATCTGCTGTCATCTGTTTTGAAGCAACAAAATATATTGGAATATTGGCTGGAAGGTTCTACTGCCATAGGACCAAAATCTGTCCCTGGTATAATGAATCATAACAGGAGGATTACTTTTAGGGTTGCTATAATATAAAAAAGAAAAAGTTGGCTAAATTCTAAGGTGTTGGCAAAATATCTCCATTAAATTCAATCAAAGTAAGTCCTTGAAGTTGTGATTTTAATCCAGTGTTAATATCATAGTACCATCCTTATATTTGATTCCATTCTCTTATTGCACTCCATTTCTTTAAACACTTAGGTTTTGAATCAGATCAAATCTGCAGTAGGTGAGAGCAAAAGGAAGTTTAACCATGCGGTAGGAACAAAATGGCAAATATCAAGCAATAAACAAAATAAGATATGGTTTCTGATTGTTAATTCCCTGCTTTTTTGTATGTGTGCTGGGGTAGTGTGTTTATACAGGGAGCATGACTTCATTCAAGACTTCCCCAAATTTACAGAGTAAAACCAGTTAACAATACCATCACTGGAAGGGCTGAGATTCAGCCTTTCTCTTTTTTTTTTTTTTTTTTTTTCTTTCAAAGAAAACAAAACAAACAAAATAAATCACATTTCTCTGCACCTTGCAAATACCTATATGAAAAGAATTCTGTGACAAATGAAATCTTGCATCAAAATAAACAAACTGAAACTACAGCACTAAATGCTTTTCAGGCTGACACCTTGTTGTGTGAACTGTTAAAATTAGAAGTGAGTTAAACAGAAGTGTCTGGCATTTTTCACTGGGACTCAGGCTGTCATACTTCAAGGTATTGAGCTGTATGGTAATAATACAGAGAGGTAATTCCTGGATAAAGGACTGATAGCTTCCTCTGGGGGGAGTACTGACTTTCCCATTAAGATTTCCTTGAAAGTGGGGAAGGAGGATTTGAAGTGGGAATAAATATGTTGGATTTCACTGCAGGCATTTTCTTCAATAAGATTGCAGTAGGTAATGCTATAAAACTTGTGTTTTTTTTGAATTCTTAAATTCTGAAATATGTCCTATAATCATTTCAGCAACTGTAACTTCCAAAAAATTAGTGCTGTGTATCTATATTATATAGATATATCCTTACGGTCTTTACTTCCTCAGTAAGCCAGTGATCCCTGACAATGCTGATACTTGGATATCTTTCAAGCAACAGATCTTATCTTTGAAGGCAGAAGTATTTTTGAAAAATTCATGGTGAAAAATATTAGATTAACAGGATGACAAAGTAACATAATAATGCTATCTTTACATTCATTACAGCCTTGCAAAAATACTGTTACCTTCTTCAGCACACTGACCATCGGTTGTTTGTTTGTTTGTTTTTGTTTATGTTTGGAGAAATATGCAATGACCAAACATTTCTCAATGAAAAGTTTTTCTGCAAATTCCATCAAGCAATCAGGAAAAGCAAATGCCTTTGGCTGAACAGAGCCTGCCAGAATTGTGCAGGTGATGCTGGGAAATTAAGCTATGGGTGTTCTTGCCAGGCAGGGCATGCTGTGAAATTGTGGCTACTTTGGATTGATGACAATTGGAAGAAACAAATAGAAAAGTGTGAATTTTTATACCAATTTATATGTTCTGTACTTATTTTACTAGTATACTAGTAAATGAAACCATATAGAATAATGGGGGAAAAAAATAGTAGGACTAGCTGGCATGGAAATGTAACAGCATTGGGAGAGAAGGGAAATAAATAAGAGACCGAAGTCTCAGTTATGAATGAAAGGGGAGAAAACAGTGATATTTGCCAACTGTTCCTGCTGGTAATAGATAGTAGCTGCTGAGAAAATGAAACACTGTTTTGTTTTGTTGGTCATGGTTTTTTTTCTCTTCATATTTTAATTCATAAAGCAGTTACTAATCTTGTTCATTAGAGCTGCCAGCTGGAGTCATGTGCCTAGCTCTTGCTTAGAAGTGCTGTACTGTCTACATTAAATCAGGGACTATTGAAACTGTTTTCTGTTTTGCGTTCTTAAAATGGTTGGAACTTGATTCCAAAACATGTAACTTTGGAAAAGTATGGATATGATTCATGCTGTAAGTATTTCACTTAGATCTACTCCTAAGTATAGGATTTGGGTTGTTTTTTTTTTTTTTTTTTTTTTTTTTTTTTTTTTTTTTTTTTTGTTGTTGTTGTTGTCTTTTTGCAGATTTTTAGCAGTGTGACATCTTTAAAAATCAGACATTTTATCAACAGCACAGAGTCCTGCAGAAGATAAATTGGTACAACTCATTTAAGGATTTTATTTTGTATTCTGATGTGAGTGCTCAGACTACTCAACTGGGAGGTTAAGGACTGCTGAGATATACTTCAGTATCTCTTTCAGCTCAACTGCTGTTGCTAGCTGCTGAATTTGCTACCATATAATACAACAAGGCAGAGAAGGGCAAGAATTACTGCTCAGATTCCCATTTTATTGCCTCATTAGTGTAGTGGTACTTCATGGCCACAGAAAGAGAATAAAGGTTAATGCTTTGAGAAGCTAGTGATTTACGCTTCCACAGCATAAAAAATGAGATGATTAGTTAGTCTCAAGTTCACTGTATTGCACTGAAACATTTATTTTATCATGAGAATACACTGCCAATGAAAGTCTTAAAATTCCAATGCTGTTTAAATGATTGAATTGTTGCTTAAGTCAATATCAGAACATTACCACATTGAGTCCAATGTATTTTCTGGGCACATTGAGAAAAATAAATAAATAAATAGGAAATATTGACAATGAATTAAGAACTTTAAAACAAACAAACAAACAAACAAAAACTTCTTACACTGATGCAAGTTAGCTTAATTTAAAATTCAGTGATGTTCGTCCAGAAAATCTGGATTTTAGACTATACTGCTGCTATATCTTTAGTGTGAACTGAAAAGACACTTCCTCAAACTCCTTAATCTTTTGTATCTTTTCCATGTTAGAATGTGATTTTGAAATATTCTAAAAACATATATACATCATATTCTACTGTAGACTTTTGTCTCCTTTTTAAGGGATAAAATCTCTTAGTTTGACTAATATGTAAGAAGACATTAGGAATGCCATCAATCATTCTTAAATGCAGCTGTCCAAAACTATTAAGTTATTTATGAAGGTGCTATCTATAGGTACTAAAAAAATGTAGACACTGCCAGACTCCGATTCTTTTATCTTCAAATCCTAGCTGATCCAAAAATGAAATGAATCACCTTCTTCATGAGCTTGTCTCTCTTACTAAACGTAGAGAGACCCAGAGCAAGCTTCATTCAGATGTTAAATACATTGGTGGATACAGGTAAAAAGATTTTCATCTTCAAGCAACAAATGTTCCTCCCTGGAAAGCTGCAAAGACTCTGTTACTTATTTGGAGTTTGTAATTTACAAAGGCTGTTTTAAATCCAAATCAATTCCATAACAACTAAACAGAGATGTAGATAGATAGTATTAAAAAAAGTATGGAAAACATTCAAAATCAAGTTAGTGAATTGCAGTATAGATGTTCCAAGACAACTTAGCCATGTTAAAAGCTTGACATGGAGGTGTAAGAATTGAGATATTTACTGATATTCCTTACTGAGGTGTAAGAAATCTATTTCACTCTGTGACTTTACTTCACACGTAATAAATTAGTAAATACCTAGATGCTCAGTGCGTTGGGAATATTATCTCCAGAGAACAGAGAAAAGTCTTTTGAGGATGTGCTTGCTAATTGAATCAATAAAATCCATCATTGTCACCTTGTACTCTTGGTTTTCTGCTTTCCAAAAAGTACTGTTGGTTATTTTGTATCAGTGAGAGTTTAAGATGTTGATTGAATGAATATATGATAAACATGCATATATACATGTGTCTGTATGCGTGTCTACATGTATGTCTCTGTATATGAATCTCATCATTCATTTGTTGAAAAATCACTCATCATATTCTTAATTATACACATCATAATATCATCTAGTAAACAATTCAGTCTTCTCTGTATTAGGCTTATTCTATATACAGTCCTGATGTGAATGGAATTAAAGTCTAGGGCCAAGGAAACCGAAGTTATTTATCTAACATAAATTAACCCCTTAAGAGACCTCTTTAGTCAATGGAGAGAGAAAGGTATTTCCAGAGGAAAATTACTCCTTACTTTTCCTGAAATGTCAGGGAAGAGAGCATCTTCTGCAGGCACTTCTCTCTATTGCCTGTCATAGAGAGCTCAACAGCTACTTCAAGTCAGATTAGCTGAGGTTGGTCTAAACTTTTAAATTCCACAAAAAATCTTCCAGATTCAAATCTCTCTGCTACTATTTTCCTTCAATTCTTTCTTCTTCTAAGGCCTTGGTCTGTTTACTAAGAATAGCATGAGCAGCTTTTTCGTATACATCTGATTACATCTACAAAGATGAGATTTAAGCTTTGCTGGTGCTCTTATCAGTTCTGGAAACAAAACAGTCTTGGAAGGTCTTGGATCAAAAACCTTAGACCCTGAAGTCAGCAGTTAATCACAGGGTGCTTCCACTGCTGGTAGTTTTTAAAGTTCTGGTTCACTCTTGACTCAGAAGGAGCAGTGAGACCTACAAAAAGACTAACACCTAGTGTTTTGCATGAAAACCTGCCATGTAAACATTCGAGATCAGGCCAGACCTCGTCCTTACTAGCTTCTCTGAGGTGGCACTTTTGTGGCACTTATTGATTTGGCCTATCAAAACCAATCCCTTTGCCAGCTATGGTTAGAATTTGGACTGCTAAGTGAGATTTCTGAAGTTCAAAACAAAGAGCTATATTGTTTGACTTAAAGTAGCCTCTTTATGATAGCGGGTCAAACTGCAGCCAGTCATTAGAAAACAATCTAGTCATAAAAAGATGGGGTAATCATTCTGGGTAAGGTTTCAAACAAACTTAAGGGAGTCTCTCAGCAACCTTGAAAAATGAATGGAAGCTGGAGACCTGTTTCTTGAGGAAACTTTGAACTTCAAGCTTAAGTTATAGTATGAGTATTATCCAGCCCTTACATGGGACACTGAAAAGGCTTTCTTTCTCTTTTCTCTTTCCCAATTATGTCAAATTGAAAGTACAAGGACCTGAAGTGCATTTACACCAAAGCAATTTTCCACTAACTTAGCCATATAAAGCATCTTTGTAGTAGGTATAAACAAGAGTTATGCTCTCTTTAAGACTCATTTCCAACACCTGCATGATGTGAAACAATCTTTGTGAAAATGAGATTCAGGTCTACAATTTCCAGAGGGCAGTCATACTGTACTGTTCAGATCTGCTGCAGCAGAAGCAAGGATGTTTCTGGTAAAAGCACCAGAGTTGCTTCCCTACCCAAAATAATCACAGAATGGTCAGGTTGGAAGGGACCTCAAGGATTATGAATCTCCAATCCCTCTGCTACAGGCAGGGCCACCAAACTCCAGATTTAATACTAGACCAGGCTGCCCAGGGTCCCATCCAACCTGGCCTTGAATGAGCAGCTTGATCCTTCTATACCTTTCCATACTCCAGTCTACCTGAGAATATTACATTACTGTCCAGGATAGCCTTTTCAATCTTTAAGAGAGCTCTTGATTCTAATGAATGAAAAGAACTAGACAGAAAATAGAGAAGGGGGACTTTATGAGGTACTTGGGTATGCTTTCTCAAAAAAAGTTATAAAAGTTGAAGAAAAAACGTAACTCATGTAACAATTTCCTTATTTTCTTAAAATGGAATTACTGGAGTAGATGCTTTTAGGACAGTATTCATAATTCTGATATTTATTATATCTTTTATATTCTTTTTAGAAACCCAGAGTGTTTTAGGAAACAGTTGATCCAAGTGGGGTATTTTACCTCTTTTGAAGATATACCATCTGGAATAAGGGAACAAACTGAGATTTTAGCTTTGTTTTTAAAGGGAAATTTCTTTACATTATGACTCATCAGATCAAGCTGATTTTTCTGTTATCATGCTTTACTTTTAAGTAGTAATTTTATTTTAAATTCCACGACAATACATCTGGGTTGCATTCTGGAAATGAAGCTGATCTGAAAATTTAACCTGAGGCATTTAGGCAACAAAGATACTGTTCCCCTTTTATTTGAAAGTGGTGAACTTCAGTGTACTGTATTGGCCCACAGTGGTACTATAAAAAGCCTATAAGCATTTCAATAATTTCATCTAATTAATTTTCCTGAAATTTCCAAGACATAGGTACAGAGTTACATATTTATCTTTTGTAATTGAATGACAATTAGAAACAGCTTGAACAAGTTTCCCACAAAGGTTTGAAAGCATCACTTGCAGAGGTGGACTTAAAAAATCTTTTCTCAGGTTCCAATATAATCAAAGATTCCTCTTGTCTCTCCTACAATTATGAAGAAATGTGTCCTTTTAATTGACCCTCTTTCATGAATAAAAATAAGCTCTGTGACCTCCTCATGTATCTGCACTGTGCAGCTTTTGAATGTTCTGAGAAAATCACTGAATTTCCCCAAAGTTTTGAAAATATCTCAGCCTGTCATGAGAGTGCTTGACCTTTGCCAGTAGCCCACGTACTCAATGCATCACCTCACTGCCTTCCTGACATGCATACAAGTGTATGTCTTTATATTTCCTTTTCCAATTACTCACAAACTAATTTAAACTGTTTTGAAAGTGCTTTTTTTTACTATTATTTTCCCAAATGGCAAGTGTATTAGCTAAGACTGTCAGCATGGCTGCCAGCTCCCTGAAGCAAGCCTAGCATGCTGTGACCTCATGCACACAACATGCAGGATTGACTATGAAGTGGGCTCCCAGTAAATAGATGTGAAGCCTGGATCCTATCTCAGCAGCCTTGGTAAGCACGTTTTATGATAAACTTTATCTCATTAGGAGAGAGAAGGGAGAAATCTTGGTCCAAGTCCAACTCTAGAGCTTGTGCTAAGACTGAACTTTTCAGCTCTCCAAGTCTGCCACATTAAATTAGGGAGAATAAAGCTGTTTGATTGCCTGATTATTTATAACATCACAGGAAACCTGGAATGACTTATTGAAGATGGAAATAGTTCTCTTTCCTCAGAAATGGATCCCTCTTTGCCAAGATACACAGTGACTGACTGTAAGAGTGGTGCGCAAATACCTTCCACACCAAAGGTTACTAAAATATATCCAGCCTTGTTTATCAGCACATTCATGATATGCAT